GATCAAGGCTTGAATGATGTTGAGAACTCTCGGGAATACATGGCTGCAGTTGAAGGTTGGGGTGATCCGACGAACATGCCGACTGATGACGGCATCTGGGGGGCTGACGAACCTGATGAAACAACTTGGGGCGAGACACCTGCTGAACGCGATGCTCGTCTTCTCGCTGAAGCTGAACAACGCGTCGCTGAAATGGAGATTCTTGACTCGGGTCGTCTCGTTGGAGTTGAACCTGTACGTGCAGCATCCGATCAAGAAAGCGGCGAGTTAGTACTTGCTCCAGGCGAGTACGTGGATGTTGAGGTTCGTGTTCCACCACCAAATCTTACTCGTTACGTCGCACCTGCTTTCGATCAGATCCGCTCCGATGGTCATCAGCTTCTGTTGTCGTTCTTCGCTAACGCCGAGTACTATCTGCGCGTACAAGGTCACAAAGCCACGGGAGAAACATGGCATAAACGACTTGGTCATCCGTCGCAGTTTACGCTAAACAACACGATCAAGGCTGCAGTGCTTGACAAAAATTCGTTACTCTTACCGAGCGGTCTCGAACTGAAGCCGGTGAATCGCCCGGCACCCTGCACCATCTGCCCTGCGGCAAACCTACCACACGAGCCGTTCCCGACTCATTTCCCTGGAGCTGACGATTATCAACTGATGGATAAGGTTTACAGCGATATACTTAACTTACCTGAGGATGGTTTCAACGGCGAACGCTACGTTATCACATTTACAGACGCTTCTACTCGTTACGTTTGGACTGGAAACATGACTAACCGTTTTCTTGCGTTTACAGCTTTTCGCACCTGGCTTCCTCTCGCCGAACGAGAGTCTGATACTAAGCTCAAGGCGTTTCAGTGTGACGGCGCCGGCGAGTATCGCAGTACTGAGTTCACGACCTATCTGCAAAAACGCGGGATAAGACGACTTTTTTCGTTGCATCACGCTCATCAGCAGAGTGGCGTAGCAGAGAGGCTCAACAGGACTCTGCAAGAGAAGATGCGAGCCCTTCTTGCCCAGGCTCAACTCGGCCCACTCTACTGGCCTTTCGCCATGGACCATGCAACGCTGTTGCACAATCTTCTTTCGTCCTCGGCCCTGCCCAACAACGCATCACCCCACTTGCTGTGGACGGGCAAGTTGGGTACCACTAAATTACTTCGTGTTTTCGGGTGTGTTGTTCAGTACCGTCCTCCTACCGCTCCGCTCGGGAAGTTCGATCAGCGTGCTAAGTGGGGACTACATCTCGGCATTGAAAAACAATATTTTGCCTGGCGTATCATGGATTACCGCAGCCGTCTTCTTGTTCCTGCTCGCGACTGTATTTTCTACGAGAATCTGACGCTGCCCGTCTTCGAACGGTATCTTGCCATGCAGCAAAACCCTGCCACGCTTTTCCACGGTGTTCGTTCGTTTGCTAACGCCGATGTCGAAATTGCTGCCAGCGAAGAACCTGACTCTGACGGTGCACGTGAAGCTGCTCCCGACCCACCTATCCCCGTCACGTCATCTGGAATTCCGGAGTTTATTCCTCTTGCTGACGCGGCACCTGAGGATGTCCGCGAAGTTCATCATACTTACCTCGTGGATGAACAACGCCAACCAATGCCGGTGGTTTCCGATAGCAGCATCCGTGTCAACCCTGACGAAATTGGGGGGGCAAGTGGAGACCAGAATGATTCTGTCAATTTCGCAGGTCGTCCCGACGATAATCCACATTATCAGACCGGACTGCAAATTTTGGGACTCGCAGCAGCGGTACAGCACAGTTCTACAGTAAATTTGGAGCCGAAAACTGCCCGACAAGCTCTCTCAGGGCCTCATCGCGAAAAATGGCGTGAAGCGATGGATCGCGAACTGGCTGCCCTGGAGAAAAGGGGAACTTGGGATCTTATACCCATTGAAAAAACGGTAAACAAAAATGTTCTTACCGGTAAGTGGGTCTTCAGGGTGAAGACTAAAGCGGATGGTACTTACGAGAAACACAAGGCACGATGGGTGGTTCGTGGTTTTGATCAGACTCATGGGATCGACTAAACACTTACCTTCGCCCCAGTCAGTCGACATACGAGTGTTCGACTTGTTCTTTGCGAAGCAGCCGCGAAGAATTTTCCACTTCGACAAATTGATGTTTCCAACGCCTTTCTGTACGCTGACGTCGATGCCGAAATCTACGTCGAATATCCGCTCACATATCCGACAAATCCGCCAAGTGTCTGCAAGCTCAAGAAATCACTGTATGGCATCAAACAAGCACCGCGACTGCGGCAGCAGCATTTGAACAGGAAGCTGACGGAGGTTGGGTTTCGACAATTGCCGCACGATCCCGGGATGTACCGGCTAGACGACAAGGGGAGCTATGCGTTGTTAGTGGCTTACGTGGACGACATCCTCTACGTCAGCTCGTCTACTTCGCTGGGAGATCGTATCGAAGCCGATCTGAAGAAGTCACTTGACTTAACCATTTCGACCAAAGTAACTCAATTTCTGGGGGTAAACGTTTCGCGAACTTCTTCCGCTATTCATCTCACGGCTTCGAAGTATGCGGAGTCACTCGCTAAGCGTTTCAACATTTCCACGGATTTCGTTGCTACACGTTATCGGTCTACACTCACTGGGCACGTTCCCAATCTGAAAAATTTGTCAGCAGCTGGTCTTCAACTGTATCAGCAGCAGCTGGGATGTCTTCTTTTCGCAGCAGTCACTTGTCGCCCTGATCTTGCCTACGTCGCAAGTCACCTTGCGCAGTTTTTACGCTGCCCGAAAGAAGAACACTCTCTCGACTTACAGCGTGCGCTATGCTACTTCGTCTCTACACCAACACTCGGATTGATTTTCAATGCTGGGAAGCTGACCGACAAAATGTACCTCAGCGGGTACGTTGACGCAGACCACGCTGGCGACACGTCAGATCGACGGTCACGCACGGGTTATATTTTCCGTCTCGAGCCGATTGGTCCGATTTCCTGGAATTCCTCAAAACAGGAACTGGTGTCACTTTCATCGGCTGAAGCAGAATTCATCGCCGCTTGTGCTGCAACTCGCGAAGGTATGTACCTGCAGGAGTTACTTGACGAAGCAAAATTCGTCACGCCGAATCAGTTCACGTTGCAGTGCGACAACCAGAGTGCAATTACCATCGCCAACAAGCCTGGTTTCGTCAATCGCACGAAGCATATTTCGCTGCGTTACTTCTTCGTAAAAGACGCGATCGACAAGGGGAGAATGCGCCTTGTCTACTGCCCCACCAGCGACATGGCCGCTGATTCGCTTACTAAGAAGCTGACACGTCAGAAATTTCATCACTGCAACCAGCTCAGTGGCATTTCCGAGTCAACAAGGTGACTACACCGAACTCCTAGAAGTGAAGGGGAGTGTTGAGATAATGTCGAGACTTATGCACTTCAAGGAATTCGTATAGTTAGTACAGTAAAAGTACCGATAGACTGACGTCAGCAAAGCGCTACGCACCTTAGGATGACGTCATCAGTAGCTGTAGGTATCGCGAATAGTCACGTACCTTTTCAGAACAGGAATAGCGCGAATAAATACAGCACAGTAGGCAAACAGGTACTTTAGTCTAGTTATATATTCTGTATGCTTGTCATTTTATAATATACTTGATTTCAGAGATCTTTGATCCTGTTACAAGTCACTCATATAAAAGACTTCCACTGCTACAGGAAGCTACTATCCTAAGACTACGATCCTATTCAAACAGTTCAGATTCTAACATCCAGAACGCTGCTGGCAGCACGATGGCAGCGTGACGGCTGTCATGTGCTGTCCTCTACGAGGAACTCGGCAGCCTTTGGAAGGGGCACTCGGGCTTGGGGGGGTAGTCGGGCTTGAGCTTCATTTGGTGCTCCAAAAGGTTGAGATTAGCTCAACCTTTGCTCTCGGCAAGCTGAACCATGCACAGCAAAGTCCCCGTAGGTACGGCGTCCCCTCGCCCTCACGTGCAGGTGAACAACTACGGGCGAATCAACTCGCCCAGTGATGACAGCCGTGTAGCTATGGCGAAGGATACGCGCAAGGTGGGATGCTCTACCGCTGCCTCAGGTGCGAGCTGTGACGAGGACGTCGGCGAAGAAGAACATGGCGACGACGGCGAGGAGGATTGGCCGGAGAACGGCCACGACGACAGCGCGTCGGGGGATGAATTTCCTGCTGGCGACATCGACGAAGACGAATGGTGGAATCGGCCTGTTGGCGAGGACGGCGAAGTGGAAGAGTGGCGGGCTGGTGACTCGGACAACGACGGAGTTGCGGATGCTGATCGTGAGCATGCTGAGGCAGCCACGCATGCAACGGAGCAAGCCCCAGCGGCGGCGACAGCGGAAGACATGATTGCGGAAACGGATGCGGTTGCAGATGACGAAGTGGAAGCGGAAGCGAGGACAAAAGCGGAGGCGGAAGCGGGTGCGGATGCAGTCGCTGCCGCGGATGTGGCAGCATATGCCGATGCGGATGCGGATGCGGAGGCGGAGGCGGATACGGATGCTGCTAAGGGAGGTGCTGATGCGGTCTTATTTGACGGTGAAGATTCCGAGGACGACCCGTGGCGCATCATGGTGGACGACGATGTTCCTCTGCTGAAGAGGAGGCTTCGTCATCGCCTACGAACCAAGCAAAAGCTTGCCCGTGTGGTGCTCTTCGATGACGACAGTTCGGGGGAGCAGCGTCCCCCGCGCCTCACTGCTGCAGACAAGGGGAAAACCAAGGTATTAAGAAGGCGAAGCCGAAAGACCCCACCCTTCGTAATCCCAACTCCCGTCCCCCTTCCCCTCGCAGCCGCGCTATTAAGAAGACAAGGCACGGATGGACCTTGCGCGAGAAACTCAAGTGGGCATGCCGCTACCACGAGCTTGGCTTCCTCAAGAAGACCTCCGTGGAATCCACCGCTTCCATTGCATACATCAGATGCTGGTGCGTGGAGGCTGAAGCGGGCCTTTACAAGGGAGCGGCGAACTGCCGCAAGCAGATGCACGCCACTACACATGCCTGCAGCGCGCAAATGGGGTGGCGATAACGGTGAAAGACACTCAGAAGTGGAGCTGCGTTTGGATGAAGAAACACCACCCCGGGAAGAACTGGAACGCGAGCTCACACTGGAGCCAACAGTTATGCGTGTGAAGACCAAGGTCGGCCAACGGTTATCGGCCGGTGAGTGGTAAAGGGATTGAATTCTTGCTTGATTCTTGACTGTATGTGCCTAGCACTGTAAACACCTTTCATGTTTCTACCCATCCCCCCTTGCTGTGCGGTGTTTTTCCTTGGCAGAGTGCGCTAAGGACTGACTGCGAGGCGTTTTGGAAGTTCGTGCGCATCAACAAGGTGCGGCACAACATCGACCTGACAAGCATCAACAACACGGACCAGACGCTTCTCTTCGTTGAGATGCCAGCCGAGAGGACGATCGAGCACCGTGGCGCGCGCTCGGTCCCAATCTGCACTGCAGGATACGAGAAGACGCGGCTGACAGTGATGCTGGTGTGCACCACATCCGGGGAGAATCTGCGCCCGTCGGTTTGGTTCAAGCTGAAGAACGTGCTGAACTGTGAGATTCCATAAGGTAAGCTAAAGAAATTCGGGTTTCAAAGAGTGTTGACATGATGCATTCTTGGCTGACGCCCCTCTGTCCCGTCTGTGCCTAGCAGGAGTCGTGGTCCAAGCACAGGACAATGGGTGGATGGATGAGAGCGCTGTGCAGACGTGGCTGACCAAGGAGGTGCTGCCCCATCTAAACCCCCAGCGCGGCCAGAACGTGAGGTGTGCGATGCTTGTGTTGGACTCCTACCGAGGCCACATCACCCAGGGCATGCTTCAAGCGTACCACACGCACATCATCACGCCTGCAGTGATCCCAGCGGGTTGCACGAGTCCGATTCAACCCCTGGATGTCTCCATCAACAGGCGCTTCAAGGCTGTGGTGCGAGCGCGCTACGCCAGGTGGTTCATGCGTGAAGGCATTTACCTGAAGACGAAGAAGGGTGAGTAAAATTTTAAATAAAAATTCAGTCGTGTTACCCTCCATGTCTCTTAACGGCACGCTGGCCTTGCCTTTGTCCCACCTGCAGGGAACCTGCGAAGGCCTCCGCACCCCGTGGTGCTGCATTGGATCACGGAGGAGTGTGATCAAGTCCCCAAGCAGATCATCGTTGACGCGTTCCGCCACTGTGGGATTTCAAGCAAGCTGGACGGGATGGAGAACCACCTGGTGATGTCTCACCTGCACGCCAAGAGCACCACCGATGTCTCCGAGGACATGTGCCTTGGGGGAACCACGGGCGACAACACGCGCCTGCTTGGGCAGGCTCCAGAGGAGGAGGAGGAGGAGGAGGAGGAGGAGGAGGAGGAGGAGGAGATGCAGGCGGAGGGCGTAAGGGAGGTCGCCGTGGCAACCGGCCTGGAGGTGCTGTACCAGGAGACCCCCAACTACCGCGGAGCGGCGGCCGAAGCTGACCGCATGATCGAGCCTAGGCAGACGGCTAGGCATGCCTGGCGAGTGCCAGACTTGGGTGTTAGGGAGCCTGCTGTTAGTGCAGGCGATGAGGCCATGACGGAGGGGGGCTAGGTAGAAGCAGAAATTCATGAATGTATGCGTGTACCCCTGTTAAGGAATTAAGGATCGTTTAGAAGACACCCCCCTCTTTATAAGAAAACCCCTAAACCCAGGTTATGATTATAAGACATATGTGTCTTACCTAGTACACACAAATAGGTGTCTTATATTGAGGCTAACCCGTTTATAAGAGACACCCAGATAATAGACAACCCCTGTCTTCTATTCAACACTGTCTTATATCCGAGTGATGACGGTATTGGAGGGTTTCACCTAGGGACGTCATTATTGGGCAGAATCCATCCACGGTATTGGTCTGATTTTAGGACCTATTTTACCGTATATGGCATTGTTCATATACATTTGTATAGAAGTAGTTTGAAAGATGCCAATACCATACCGTAATCCCCCAAGGACCTGCCAGAAAGATATTCATCTGAGACTCTTTTCCAAAAGAAGGTATTTTACTGTGGTCGGCATCTGTGACTGTGATAGCCCCGTTTTGGTGCTGATAATTATACCCCCCTTTTCCGTGATACACCCTCTTTTAAGCAATTTTAGTGAGTTGAACAATACAAGTTCCTAACAAAATTTTACAACATTCTTAAAGCCCGAGTTTAGAATGGCAAATGTTCAAGTTCAAGAAACTTGAACATGATTTCGTCCAAGAACATGGTAACTCGCCTTTTAGTGATGCTCTCGCGCGATCCACTGAGAATGAATCTAATGCGCAGGAATATGATTGGCCAAACGCTAAACAGCAAAACCACTTACGAGCAGGCCCCACGTTATCAGGGCAAAACATCCTGATTACCCTGAAATCAGGATGCAATTTTGAATTTGCCCTGTGATTCTGAATAGTGTCAATTTTAACCCAGTGGTCTCAGGATGTTGTTATATGAAATGCCCTGGACATTCAGGATGGCCATGATGTTCTTCCCTGAAGCGTCAAGATGAATGTCGAGGCTTGCCCTGACGCGTTTTTAGAGGGGGGGGTGGGGGGGGGGGGGGGGGGGAGAGAGGGGGGTGTTCTCGTTCCTGGGGAAAATTTCCCCCTGGAATTTTTTTCCCCATCGATTTTTTTTCCTCGTGTCTTTTTCCAGCCTTTGCACCATTGACAGTTCCGATCCCCTGCAACACACCAGCCAAACCCATCAGATTGGGAACAGGTTGGGCATGGCAACACTCTAGTCTCCTTTTGTGCCATGCATGCACCCTTCCTGTGTTGCTGTTAGAGTAGCGGTGGTGTTCTCTGGTCTAGTCTGGTGGTGTTCTTTACCCTGGATTAGTTAGCAAGAGTAGGACAATGCTGGTGCCACTAGAATTGTAAAAAACATAACCCTGAACACTTGTATTTTTGCCTTGACAGCCCAAGATAATGTTCTGCTGAAGCCCTGAAACTACAGGAAGCCTCTGAGAATTTGCCCGGACAAATCAGGGTATTTTTTCAGATTCTGGAAAGTTGCCCTGATGCCTCAGGATGCCCCAAAACCTAGCACGGGCCCTGCTGACGAGCCTCGCCATAACAAATAAAAACACACGCACTGTTCACACTTCTGAAATCTTGAAACTTGAAACTACCGTTCTAGCAAGGCCTCATATTGGTTTTTCGGTACCCTGAGCACTCAGTGTCCCTAGCCTAGCAACACTGGTTTTCAGTTTCATCCCAACGGAAAAACACAGAATTTTCTGGGTAAAAAAAAATAAAAAAAAATGCTGAGCACTCGGAGTGCCAATAATTTAAACATTGATCAGCTATATCAATAACCAGAACCCCTGCATGGGTTCCCTTAGCACACTGCAACCAGCACAACGTTGCCACACATTGGACAGCCAATCAGATTGCACCTTTGACAATAACACCCAAATTCGGCCAGTGCAGGGTGATGTCGGTGCACAGTCGGAACCTGAATGCAGAGGACGCGCCAAACTTGGCGAAATGCAGTTTCCAGTTTCAGGAACGAATGCGATACAACACTGACTCATCAGTGTCCGAAATTGCAAAACATTGAAAAAACAGTGTTGGAATAAAATTAACATTGAAAATTCAGTGTCGTTAAAAATAAAAGGCTAAACGATCAAGGTCACTTAAAAATAAACCCTAAAACATCAGGAAATCAGGGTAAAAATCCTGACTTATGAGGCCATGCGACGAATATATCTCAGCGGACAAGCGAGTCCGCCCGGGGAAGCTCGCTGCCCACGGGCAAAAAAAACAAAACCCATTCGGGCATGCATCCGGTCAGGGAGGCATCAACTCTAAACACAGGGAGGCATGGATTTAGGGTTGATGCCTCCCTCGGATGGCATGCGATCCGATAGGGGTTTAGTTTTTATCTGCCCGGGGCAGCATGTCGTCAAGTCGTCAACAGGTCATCAGGCTTGACGACCCGTTTCCGCTGAGATATTCCGTTCTAGACTCCTTGCATATGTTGGTGCAACCCTACGGTTTGCACTCGGCTTGTTGTCCGTGTGCGTGAATGTGTGTGTGTATGGAATGGTATGAGGGCATGGGATAATATATATTTCATGCTTATAATTGTGTGTGAATGTTGAGTCATGATGTCGAGTGTGTGTGTCGAGTCAATAGCGAGTTATCGCTAGACGCGTGTTACGCGGTCGTTTGTGTCTCGCGCGCGGTTTCTATTTTGTCGTGCGCGGTTTCTATTTTGTCCTGTGTCGAACGTTCGGCGTGTCGCAGGTGTGTGCAGCAGACCCATCAAGAACTCAAGGATGAGTTTGTGATGAAGAGCCCGAGCCTTGGTGTCAAGCCTCAAGTGATTTCGAAGCTTGCCAAAAGGGTACACCTCAAGATATTGAAGATAGTTACATTACTTTGTGTAGTGTAACATTTCACTTGGTGTAGGCCCTAGTGAAGGGTAGTTTCGAGACCCTTCGTGGTTGGGGACAGTGTGGCACTGTTCCACATCACTGTACCTCGGCTCTTGGGGTTTGTAGGAGCTGGGAGTCATTCCCAACTCGTAACTCTTCCTATCTTGTGTTCTAAGACTATAGTGGCTGCCATAGTACCGTTCGTTCAAACCGACGCTGTGTCGTCATTTCTTTATCAAATCGTGCAATCTAAATTGCTAATTGTAGACGACGTGAAGACGCTCCAGATCCAATTTGAATCAAGTCATTTGCAGCTGTGAGAAGAACGCTATCAACGTTTGAAGCCGCTGTGCAGAAATCCGTCTGTGCTCTCTATCTTTCGTTTTAGGCACATTCAAGCCTATTGTGACTATAACAAGTGGTATCAGAGCCCCTTGGAGCAGTTTCGACAATGTCTGGACCTGAGGAAAGGGGTGGCAGAGGTGCTGGTGGCAGTGGAGAAGCTCAAGCTCAAGGCCAACCCCGTGATTCAGCCATGGCGCCCATGCAACCAAGTCTTGGCCCACCTAGGGATGAGCCTAGGGTGTTTGGGCTTGACAAGTTCAACGGTGACAACTTTGCTGAATGGTCCTTCAAGATGGAGAACATCTTTGACCACTATGACCTGCTGGAGGTGATGGAAGGAACGGAGAAGCGCCCCGAGAACGACCCGGAGAAGAGCCCGTGGGTGCGGAAGAGCGCACAAGGCTATCTCTTACTTGGGCAAGCGTTGGGGAGCAGTCAGATCCGTCACATCAAGCCATTCCAGCGTGAACCAGAGAAAGGACCAAAGGCATGGGCTGCTCTCAAGGGTGTACATGCTCCTGCAACAGCGGCGGTAGCGGTGGTGTTGGAACGGCAAATGGCGGCACTACGAATTGAAGAAGACGAAGCGGTTGAAGAAGGGGTGCAGAAATTCTTCGACTTGTTGACGCGGCTTGAGGGAGCTGATTTGAACTACAGTGAGCTCCAAAAGAAGACCAAGTTGCTGGCCTTACTCCCAGAGTGATGGTCCTCGCTCATCATCAACCTTAATCGCGACTTGCCCCGCCTCTCGCTTGAAGACGTGAAGCGAGCTATCCTTCAAGAGGATTTCCGCCGCCGTGAGTTGGCGAGTGCGGATGGCGCTGGGGCAGCGAGCATCGGCCGTGGATATGGTCGAGGAAGAGGCAGAGGACGAGGGGGAGGAAGGTTTGGTGGCAGCAACTTCGGCGGAGGCCGCAGGAGTGGCGGTTACGGCAGCGACGACAAGAGCTACGGACGCGGTCGCGGCCGATTCGACGGCGAGTGTCACTATTGCCACAAGAGCGGACACATGTGGCGCGACTGCTACAAACTCCCTGATGGTTGGACCCCTGCTCAAGGCCAAGAGGGTAGAGGAGCAGGAGGAGGGAGAGGACGAGGCCGTGGAGGCCGTGGCGGTCGCGGTGGCGGAGCTGCAAACATGAAGAGCGGAGACAACGACAAGGACCCGAGCGACGATCGATACCCGGGTCTATTCTACTTCGTGTCGACGCAAGTACCGGCTGGTCCAGAGAAGGATGAAGGCTTTGAGGAGCCAGCAGCTGTGGGGAAGGTGACCCTACACCCCCTGGACTATTGGGTGATTGATAGTGGCGCTACTTATAGCATGACACCTCGCCCGGACTTGCTCACCGAACTCGAGCCGTCACCGGTGAAGCATGTCACATCGGCTTTGGGGCAGCGAGCAGAGGTGAAAGGCATGGGCAAGGCCATGTTCAAGGGTGCTGATGGGAAGATGGTGGGCCTCAAGAACGTGCTTTGGGTGCCCAGCCTTGCTGCAAACCTGATTTCCGTGCGGCGGTTGGCAAAGGCCGGCATGGACACGAACTCGAAGGGAGCCAAGACCTACACCGCAAGGCTTGGCGATCGAATTCTTTGGGACCTTCATGAGGACAGGGATGTCTACAACGAGATGTGGCAGATCCCAGTGGTCCCTATGCCTAAGGAGAGGCAAGTGGCAGCAAGCATCAGCACCAAGGATGGAGCGGTCGGTAGCGACGATGGCGCGAACGGTCGCGCTAAGGAGAATGAGCTCAAGAAGAGCAAACCTGGAGGGACCAGCAAGTTCAGTGAACCTAAGGAGAGTGGTGCAGCAACCAAGGAGCAGCAAAAGGGTG